CGGGGGGGGGGGGGGGGGTTCTCCCTTTTCCCCCCCCCCAAAAAGAGTTAAGGATGCCCGACTTCTTTTTCCCCCCCCCCCCCAAAAAGAAAAAAGAACCCCGGGGGGGGGGCGGGCGGGAAAAAAAAATTTAATGTTTGTCTCCCAGCTCACCCCCCCCGGGGGGGGGGGGGCCCTTCCCCCCCCCGGGGGGGCCCCCCCCCGGGGGGGGGCCCCCCCCCCCGGGGGGGGGCCCCCCTTTTTTGGGGGGCCCCCCCCCCCCCCAAAAAGAAAAAAATTTTTGGGCCCCCGGGCCCTTTTTTTTATATATAAAAACACACACACACACACACACACACACACACACACACACTCACTGAGTGGCCAGATTATTATGACCAGCCAGATTATTATGACCACCCCATCAGTACTTCATTGACACTTGCAAAAATACTGAATATTGAAAACTTCCCTAAGCAAATACTCTCAAGGTTTTATTATTATTTGTATAACTAATTCACTTCATTGTACTGATGGGGTGGTCATAATAATCTGGCCACTCAGTGTGTGTGTGTGTGTGTGTGTGTGTGTGTGTGTGTGTATTTTTTTGCGTCCATCAGTCTTTCCTACTGTCCATGCAACTGTTGTGAAACCACAGCTCTTGTTGGCTTCTCTGGCTAACTTTCGTTACCTTTACAATGAAGTCTGGGTTTTAGGGGTGGTATCCAAGGTCTTGTCTCAGGCTGCACGTTTGCCCGCCTCTCCCATTCCTTATTGTGTCCTTTTCAGCTAAGCCAGGACAACTTGGCATCTCCCCACCATGCTCTGCACTCTCCTGCCTGTGTGCTTATTCTGGTAGTTTGCTTCTGTCTGAAATGTCCCCTCACCCTCACCTCACCCTATCGGTCAAAATCTTGTCTGTTGCTTCCTCCCTGAAACTACATTGGTTCACTCCTCCTCTGAGCTCTCCAAGCACCTTTGGTTCTCATTGCCATGATACTAAGTTTACCTGTGAGCGTGTTTTATTTCAGTCTTTATTGGTGCCTTTGGGATATGATTGTTATCTTCACCTTTGCGTCTCCTTACCATCATGAAATGTGCATGCAGTCAGTGCTTGATGATTATTGAATTAAATTGCTGAGACAACGTTGGCAGTTGGTGGGGATTATCTCTGGACTCTGACTCTGATATTGGCCTGTGTTCATGAATCTGACTGATGTGTTCATTACACTTGCTGTGTACATGGCCCACTCCATTTCCTTTGCACAAGAACCCAGGTGGTACATTCCTTTTGATAGTACTGGAAGAAATGAGCTCTTAAGGATGCAGTAATTAAAGACTTCTTTTTCTTTGGTTTCTGGGTATCTCAATGTCTCTGATTCTTTTTTTTTAAAAAATTGTTTTATGCTTCCATCTCCTTGATTTTTTTTTAAAAAGCTATTTCTGTTTTCATATTTTTGTTTATATGTGTCTTTTTGCTGTAATCCCTTTTCAGTCATTTTTGGAAAGAGACAACTTACTAGATAAAAATATACAGACTCTCGTGAATAATGAGGTGTTCATGGAAGTCAGTGATGAACTTCAGCCACATGTTTCAGACTTGCACGTTTAGTTCAAGTTATGTATATAAGTATGCTGTTTGCCAGAACTTTTAGCGTCTTTGGTAAAATTTTAATAACTACTCCTTGTAAAAGTTGTGAGATCTTTGAAGAGGTGGGGGCTTTTGTTGTATCATATATCTAACTTTAGGCCAGTTTTTTTTTTGGGGGGTCACGTTTAACCCCTTTAATCCTGTGTCTTCTAATAGCTATTAGGGTATAGCCACACCAATGCTTGAGGCTTAGGTTAGGAAAGAGATCAAAGCTATCTTTTCTAGCCTTTAAGTGAAAGCAGCACAGTGGAACATACTGTGTGTTGTCCTGACTTTATTTCACAAAATAAAAGCAATATTAAAGTGCCTAAGTAGCTCCTAGAAGGCTCGGGGTATGGGGGGAGTAGTTATAAGAAAGCCCAACAAACCTATTAAAGACAGGCTGAGTATGCTGTAATGATTGAGTTAGTGGTAACGAAATGTTCCCCGGGCAGAAGGGGTGGGTGCTGACACCAGGACAGTTACAGTTAAACGAGGAACAAAGCTCACAGTGGTAGGCTAGGACAGTCGGCATCAGACACCAAGAGAGGAAAAGAAAATGTTTCTAGAATGACAAAATGGTCTAGCTGTCAACTCAAGTGGCAGTTACTACTTACATCAACATTGTTTAAAAATGGTTTTAAAATTTGGATTTTTGTCTCAGGGCAAATGATGTTTTCTAAGAAAGGGCATCCTTTAGCTCTTCCAGTAAAATAGAGACTCTAAGCATTTATCCAGGTCACTTGCCATATGTCCCGCTGATCATAAGCTCTCTGGGCGGTGAACCCGTATGACCTGGCTCACCAGCAGCTCTTGGTCCTGCTGTGACTAGACTGCAGCAGACACTACACAGCATTTGAGGGTTAGATAGACAGTGAATATGGGAACTAGACAATGTTTTACTAAACTATACAAACTACATGTTAATATATGTGGGGGAGCATTACCTTCTTTTTACGTGCTTACTCTTACAGATGTAATTTGTCTCTATCCAAAGCCTGAGGGTATGAATGCATATTAGAGTATTTATTTTTAAGATGCATGCCTAATTTTTTAATGGCTTTTCTTAGGTTAGGAATGTATCGTGAAGCAGAAAAGCAATTTAAATCAGCTCTGAAGCAGCAGGAAGTGGTAGATACATTTCTCTACTTGGCAAAGGTAAGTATTCCTAATCTGAGTGGAATCTGCCTCCTCAGAACTGTGTAAATTCTGGCCAGCGCATGGGGAGAGTTGCTAGGTTCTTCAGGAATATTTTGGCAAGCTAATATGTTCAGACTTAACTTATTTTTCTTTTTAGCAAGGGAAAATGTGAGACCATATAGAGAAGAACCGTTCAGGAGAAATTGATGGCCATAAAAAAGATTTGAAAGATTGCCCATTAGAGCACAAGAAAATATCACAGGCTTACCACTCCTATGGGTGCAGGCTCCATAGAGGCCCCCCCCCACACCTTTTTATTTACAACACACTGTCTCCCACCTAAGCAGACTGTGCAAAACAGGGGTTGTTCTTATATAGGTCCTTTACTTCTTGGCTCTGCCGTAATAACAAAAACAATATTTTCCCTGTATGGACCACCTATTCAGTGTAAGGAATTGTATCAGGTCTGTTCCATACACATTTAATTTAACCCCTAGAGCAACTCCACAAGGTAGGTTTCAATATTTCCTTTCTGCTCTTAAGGAAAAGGAGATCGGGGAGGGTCAGTGAGATTTCAGGGTCACCTGGCTGTTGAGAGCCAGCATTCAGGCCCAGGACTTGCTGATTCCGGAGCCTACTCCCTGCCTCATCGTGCCACCCACAGCCACAGCAGAAGCGAGGGCACACCTAGAATTTTCAGTATTGGGGTAAAGTTACTTCTTGACCCTCACCAAGGCTACTTGAAATGAAACATTTGATGAATTGGTGGCTGTGATGTCATCGTGCCGTACCTCTAAGAGTTTTTTCAATTGAAAAGTGTGGTGAAGGAGGTTGAAAAGAGGATGAGATATACATGGAAGTGCTACTACTTCGTAAATAGGTATTAAACGTTAGCATACTGAAAGAAAACTAATGAAAGCTGTGTTTTGAACTTAGTGTGCTAATCTTAGTGCGTGTACAGTGGTTCCAAACACGATTGAACTGTCTGGTACCTAAATCTACTGCACCTTATATACTAAACTTCAACTCTTAAAGAAGTTACTAAGAATCACAGTAGACTTAAACTTTTCTGACAGCTTGAAATTAAAATTCAGGTCATACTATTTGACTACTTTCTTGTTGATAACCACTTGCCACATGGTTAAAAAATGTACTTTTAATTTTAACTATGTTAACTATATGGTTTGACTTATTTTTCCATAAATGAATTTGTTTAAATCCATTGTCTGCATAACTGTATACAGGTAAAATTTACTTATTTTTTTAATATATGAAGGAATGATTGTTAAGTAATAGGGATCAGCAGATTTTAGGAACAGAATTATTTCTTACAATCCTAGATGGTTAATTTAAAAATAATTAGTCAATATTTTATATTACTTAGCATATTAAATTATATAATTTATTATATTTTAAAAAGAAGTCAAAAAATATATAAGGTAAAGTTGAAAAATTTTTCACCCATACTTTCTCGCTAGTCTTATATTTTGGTAATAAACACTGTAAACAGTTTCCTGTGTATCTATTTGGGCCTCTTCAAAGCACAAACTAGCTGTGGAGGAAGAAATAGAGGACCCATGCTCATGAAGGAAAAAGCCATAATCTTATATTTCTATACATAAAATAATTCTCTAATTTAGAGATTCCTTTTAAATTCTCTATGTGGGTTATTCATGCTAATATCCTGATTGCTCATTAAATGAAAGCCATCAAGTGCCAACTCTCTCAACATCCTGCCCACACTCCTCACAAATCTGTTTCCCCTCTATTTCTGAGGGTCCTTTTCCAAAACCACCGTCTCCACAAGGTCTCCCCTGCTGCTCTCTCTCAGAGCCTGTTCCCTTCTTTCTCCAGTGTCTTCAACTTCAGTCTCATAATTGATTCTTTTGGCCAACCTGTAGACATATTCATGTCTTCTATCCTAAAAAGAGTTTCCCCTGATCTTTGTCTACTCACTGCTCCGTCTTTGTGACAATAATAAGCCCACGATAAGCATTTGTTGATGGAATAAATGAATGCATGCTTCATATACAACATGTGGAGATAAAATGATAACATCATTATTGGAAATCCTACACAATTTTTACTGTAATCTCTAGGAGATAATTTGTTACTAAGCAATTATGTAACCAATTGTCATAACAAATACTATGTTATTTTAAGAACCAGTACTTTTACTGAACTGTGTCTTGGTTTTAGGTTTACACCTCATTGGATCAACCTGTGACTGCTTTAAACCTTTTCAAACAAGGCTTAGATAAGTTTCCAGGAGAAGTAACCCTACTTTGTGGAATTGCCAGGATCTATGAGGTGAGGTTCATAGTATTCAAAAAGTTGATGTAAAATTGAGGTTATATGCTTCTTGAGTAAGCCCATTGTCCTCTGGGGTCCTAGCAAGGAGAACAATTTATAAAACTAGGACTGCTGGCCTGTAGTTTACCAACAGAGTAAGTGATTTTAGTGTATGCATTTAGTAAAGCTGACTTTTTCTTAAGCAGTATTTCAAACATACATAAATGTATAGAGAATGGTATGAAATATGGATTTAAATTAGTTTCTATAGATTGCTAGTTGTCCTAGTACATTTATTGTACATTTATGGACCTTTTCCAAAAGGCCTATAATGTCAAGTATAATTTTTTTTCTATATATGGTAGATATGATTTGGGGCCTTCTATTCTGTCCTATTGGTCTGTTTGTCTAACCTTATGCCAATATTATACTATCTTAATTACTGTGGTTTTATAAAACTTGCTATTTGATAGGGCACTTTGTTCATCATTATCAGGAATGTTTTGGCTATTTTGTACTTTGCTTATTTTTTATAAATTTTAGCATCATGTTGACAAATTCCATGAAAAGCCCCATTGAGGTGTCCTCCCTGCTGCCTAATTACTTTAGCTTTACAGTAATTCCCCGTACCTGTTCTTCTTCACAGTTAGTTATTCTTGGCCCTTTGCTCTCCCATATTGATTTTAGGACTAACTTGTCAAGAACCATTAAAAATAACTGTGCAGGGATAGTGATTGGACTTGAGTTGAATACAAGAATGAGGGGGTGGGGTGGGCTGCCTCTCCTCCCATTCTCAATATGTCTCCTTTTATTTTGATCTCTTTTTTTTTGAAACATATTTTGTAATTATCTCATAAAAATGTTTTGTTGGGGGGTCTCCAAAACCACCCTGAAGTTGGGTGATTTATTAGAAAGATCTGAAGCAAAGGGAAGAGGCACCTGGGGCAGAGTTCAGAGGAAAGCAGGCACGAGCTTCCAAGAGTCCCCCCACACCCCCCTACCTCCCGTGGACTCACACAGGACACACCTGTTCTTTCAGCCACAGGCTATGACCACGTGTGCCAAGCGGTGTCTATCAGGGAAGCACATTGGAGACTTGGTATACAAGGTTATTTCAAGGGGTGGGTCATATAGGCACCCTCTGCCTATCACGTACCCAAATCCCAGACTCCCAAAAGTCAAACACATGTTCAGCAAAAACGATATTGTTTGTACAGTGTAGGTGAGGTGAGCCATTCTTATCATTTGGGAAAGTTTTATATCAGTCTAGGGAACTAGCAAAGTTCCGAGATGCCACCCAGGGGTCAACCTTGTAAACCGATCTTTCTAGGAATAACAGTTTCAGACCTGCTATGTTAACTTTTTCTGCACAGATGTATTCCTGTGTATAACTATGAATGGGATCCTCTTTTCTATTGTATTTTCTGTTTGATTATTTCTGGTTAGTAGGAATGCATTAATTTTTAAAAGTAGATTTGATACTAGCAACCTGGCTAAATACTCTTTAAATTTTAATTCCTTATCCACAGGTTCTCTTAAAATTTCTAAGTAATAAAATAATCATCAGCTACAAATGGTTTCATTTCTTATTTCAATTATTTTATCAAACTAAAAAATATCTTATTGTTTAGGACTTCCAATATAGTATTTAATAGAAGCATCTCTGTTCTCTTTTAAATGCCTTGAAATGCTAGTTATGATATTTTAAAAATTATTTTGTTAGAAAAAGAGTGGAAAAATATTAATAGTTTCTATATCTGGGTAGTAGTATATGAATGATTTTCATTTTTGGTTTTACAATTTCAATATTTTCCAGATTTTCTGTAATGAACATGCATCACTTTAAAAAAGAAAAACAGCCAAAACCGGTTTGGCTCAGTGGATAGAGCATCGGCCTGCGGACTGAGGGGTCCCAGGTTCGATTCCGGTCAAGGGCGTGTACCTGGGTTGCGGGCACATCCCCAGTGGGGGATGTGCAGGAGGCAGCTGATCGATGTTTCTCTCTCATCGATGTTTCTAACTCTCTGTCTCTCTCCCTTCCTCTCTGTAGAAAATCAATAAAATATATTTTGAAAAAAATAAAAATAAAAAAAAAATAAAAATAAAAAAGAAAAACAGTAGTATTTTTGAATTGTCTGGGAAGGTTGTTTTTCTTTTTGAAATATAGTTTTGATAAACATCTATAATGATAAAAGCATAATATGCTAATTAGACCGGACAGCCAAACGAACTTCCAGACATCATTCTGGACGTCCTTCCAGATGAAGTCTCAGGGGGCTGAGGCAGAGGTGGTTAGGGGCGATCAGGCAGGCAGGTGAGCAGTTAGGGGCAGTCATGCAGGCAGGCAGAGTGGTTAGGGGTGATCAGGCAGGCAGGCGAGTGGTTAGGGGCGATCAGGCAGGCAGGCGAGCAGTTAGGGGCGATCAGGCAGGCAGGCAGAGTGGTTAGGGGCGATCAGGCAGGCAGGCAGGTGAGCAGTTAGGAGCCAGCAGTCCAGATTTCGAGAGGGATGTCTGACTGCCGATTTAGGCCTGATCCCGCTGTGGGATCGGGCCTAAACCGGCAGTCGGACATCCTCTGAGGGATCCCGGATTGCGAGAGGGTGCAGGCTGGGCTGAGGGATCTACACCCCACTCCCCGATTCATGAATTTTGTGCACCAGGCCTCTAGTGTAAATAGAGAACTTTGATCACTCAATAAAAATTCTATATCTCTGTATCTTTACGTGTGTGACTCCACATTGAACAGAATTATGACCAAGAAGCTTGGGAAGGAAGGGTAATAAATTGGGCTGTGAACCCAGTGGCATTCATATATAGGGTTGACTGTCCGATGCTCTTGCACCTTCATGCTCTGTCTTCTCACATCCCAGTCCTTCTACCGGTCTTCCTTAGGCAGGAAGTGCTGGCAGAGAAACCGAGAGAACATTGGCACCTCTAGCCTGTGGTTGCTGGTCAGAGTTCCCTCCACGCCTCTGTGGTAGTTACTGTTGCCATGGCTGCGATAGGGCACAGATCCTTTAACCAGCTACCTTCTTCCTTGCCCTGCTTCGCGTTGGCCAGGAGTTGGAGGAACATATCCTGTTATGGGCGCACAGGGGAGGGCTTTGTGAGGAAGGGAGAATTTCACTTCGCACTCAGAGGAAGAAAGATGTCGAGAGGAAAGTGTCCTCGTGGGGACAGTGCCATGCCCCCGTAGGGTGATCAGGACTAAGCACAGACGTGAGCTGGTCGGATGCAGCATTCCCTTTAGATTTACAGTTCGTTTCCCTGGGCGCATAGTTTACCGCACGAAGATTTCCAGCGTGTCCTTTTTCTCTATGTGACAATGGCTTTAGCGTTCACTAGTGAAGTTTGTCCTAGCATCGCAGCCTACACTGCACGTGCCGGTGGAGATGTTTTGTATGTACAGCAGATGTGCTCAGGTCTCAGCCCTCACCTCACCCAGGCCTGTGCACACGGCACCCCTCCGCGGCCCCTTCTGAAGCAGCAGCCTCCGTCTCCTCACCCTGCTCTGTCTTTCTCTCCATCCCGGTCCTTGTCCAACATCACATCACATGTGTGTTCATTTGTTGCTCTTCCCTACCAGATGCAGTCTCCCTGAGGATAGTAACTTTATCTTTTTGGTTTATATTGTGTTCCCAGGGCCTAGAACAGTCTGGTAGGTTCTTAATAAATACTTACTGAATGAGAAAACGTAAACCAGTCAGAAAGTAACGTCTTGGCAATATCAGTCAATTATTGCTCTTCTGTTTTGCTGGAGAATAGGAAATGAACAATATCTCATCGGCCTCCGAATACTACAAAGAAGTTTTGAAACAGGACAACACTCACATGGAGGCCATTGCATGCATTGGGAGCAACCACTTTTATTCTGATCAACCAGAAGTCGCCCTCCGCTTCTACAGGTGAGCTCTGCCTTCAGTTTGTAAGACTCCTTTCCTGCGGACTATTGGCGAGACAGTAATAAAGAGGGAATGCAAATGGAGAGAAATAGTGTATAAGCCATGTCTGTATGAGACTAGAAACTCAAACACCCAGGTGTTTTATAAGCATTAAAAGTGACCTCTAAAAATTTGGAAACGCACAGATATTTGGCATCTTGTAGAAACACACCCCGATAATCACCTGAGTGTTTAACCCTATGGCATTGTATGAATTAGCCATTTTGTCATTGACCAGTAACAGTTTAATGGCTGCTGGAAGCACCTCCCTCTCACCATCTCTGCCTTCATTAATGCCACTCTGTGTACTATAACAACCTTGAAGCTGAGATGGGGGTGAGATTTGCAAAGAGAAGCAGGCCCCAGGTTCTGAGCCCCAATGGGGACCTGAAACAGCGTCCTGTGTTTTGTGAAGAAGTATTGCCAACTTTTGTTCAAAAACTTTTTTATTCTAAATGAATTCTGTTCTCTGGTTCTCTTTTGAGCACAGACTTATTTTATCCTACAGCTTGTTTCTGGATTAATTTTTAAATTTTGATTTCCTCTTCAGCCCTTAGGTAATATACAAGGAGGTAACTGGCAACTGACAAGAGTTCTTCCCAGATACATACAAGTGATAATATCAGTGCTGTCTTGTCTTACGCAGCTGACTGTTCCCCTGCCCCCAAGCGGGTCATGGGTTCCTCAGGGCAGCTGGGCTGGATTTTATTTGCTTATCTGAACTCTTGTCCTTTGTCCTGTGGGATTAATGATGCATTGAAGCAAATGGGCTTCTTGAGCTATAGCGGTCTGTCTTCCTTGGTGGGAGCCCATTGGAGGTCGGTAGATGCAGCTAAACCACAAAATACTTATCGCCAAAAACAGGACCCACTCAGCTAAAAACGTGGAAGTAAATGCTAAACATCCTCAAATTAGGTCAGGAGGTTTAGGAGCTTACCTATGGGTACAAAAGCTTTATGAAGCAAAAATGTGTGGGTTTTACTTTATGTGACTATGTCTTACTAGAGGCCCGGTGCATGAAATACGTGCACTAGGGGGAGGAGGGTCCTAAGCCCGGCCTGCGCCTTCTCACAGTCTGGGGGGAATAGGCCTAAGCCAGCAGTCGAATATCCCTCTCACAATCCGGGATCCTTCCTTCTTACTGCCCGCCTGCTCACTTTTTACCGCTTGGCTTACTGCTCCTTAGCACTGCTGCAGAGGCAGGAGAAGCTCCTGCCACCGCCGCTGCGCTTGCCAGCTGTGAGCCCGGCTTCTGGCTGAGTGGCACTCCTGCGGTGGGAGCACACTGACCACCAGGGGGCAGCTCCTGCGTAGAGCATCTGCCCTCTGGTGATCAGTGTGTGTCATAGTGACTGGTTGTTCCACCATTCTGTTGATTTGCATATTAGGGTTTTATATAGATAGATTTTGATTCTCTAACCAAGCTTTTTGGAGGGGAAAAAACTTACATAAGTTGTGTCTAACCTTGCCTCTGACACCTTTCCCATAACTGGCACTATTAAAAAAGGCATGCTTTTGTATTTGCTTTAACATTTTTTTCATCAACTGCAATACTTTCTATTTCTATTTGGGGGTGTTAAAATTATAAAATAAATTCATTTCTAACTTTGTAAAAAATACATGTGTCTAAACATTTGTAAAGTTGGTCTGACACCCAAATATGTCTCCTCTTCTCAAAAAGGCGCCTCCTGCAGATGGGCGTTTATAACTGCCAGCTCTTCAACAACCTGGGGCTCTGCTGCTTCTATGCCCAGCAGTACGACATGACGCTGACCTCATTCGAACGTGCCCTTTCTCTGGCTGAAAACGAAGAAGAGGCAGCTGATGTCTGGTACAACCTGGGACATATAGCTGTGGTATGTTGTTCCTCTGACATCACTTCTGTCATAGAAAAGGTAGCGCAAGTCAGTCTGAAGGCATTTTCAGGAATTGTGAATCCAGGCTTGGCAACAGTCTTAGGTAGCAATGTAGAGGTTTCTCAGGGTCACCGTACTCATTTTGCATTCCCGGGATAAATCCTCTCACATGCAATTCCCCAGTTGACTCCCATGATTGGCACTTGCTGCCCGGACGGGAGGAGGTGGCAGGAGGAAGCGTGTGGATCGGCGTGTGCGGAAATGTGTGTTGCTTTTGCAGGGAGTGGGAGACACGAATCTGGCCCACCAGTGCCTCAGGCTGGCTCTGGTCAACAACAACCACCACGCCGAGGCCTACAACAACCTGGCCGTGCTGGAGATGCGGAAGGGCCACGTGGAACAGGTCAGCGCCCCGCGTGCACAGTGGACAGGCTGCTGTCTCCACAGGCTGTAACTTAACAGGGGGCCTGGGTTTGAATCCTAGCCTGTCACGCGTTAGTGATGTGACCTGGTATGAGTCACTTGTCTCTGAAACAGAGCACCTGGTTTATCAGGACAGACCTGCACCCCCCAGTCTTCCCTGTTGTAGGGAAATGTTGCACCATTCACAATTCCCACCCACCATGGAGCTGCTCAAGCCAGAATCCTAGGAGGTACCTGGAAACCTCCTGTTCGGACTGCCTCTCCTGCCACCCCATGTCCCCAGCGTGGTCGACAAGCCCTTGTCAGGCTTACCTCCAAGTCCTGTCCTGAACCCGGCCACCTTCCTCCCCCCACCACCCTCTCCCACCTGCTCTCACCTCCTGCCTGGACCAATGCAAGAGTCTCCTTGCTGGTCTTTTTGTTTCCAAGTCAGCAAGTAAGTGTGCCCTCTAAGACGTCCTCCTCAGGACAGCCGCAGGGATTTTGAAGAAACAAACAAGATTATTTTATTACTACTTCGCTTAGCATCCTGCAGAGGCTTTCTCTTTTCACTTGAAGTAAAACCTGGACTTCAGCCCTTGGCCTAGGAGGCCCCGTGGCATGTGGCCTCTGGCTCCCTCTCAGACGACACCTTTTGCCGCTGCCGCAGTCTCCCCTTTTCCACGGTTTCTCTTTCTTCGGTTTCAGTTACTCCCGCTCAACCATGGTCCTAAAATGTTACATGGGAAATTCCAGGAATAACAACTTAGGAGTTTTAAATTGAGCGCCATCCTGAGTGCGAACCCTCTCCATCCTGCCCAGGACGGGAGTCATCCCTCTGTCCAGTGCATCCGCGCTGCACATCAGCCACTTAGTAGCTGTCTCAGTTATCAGATTGGTTATGAGAGAGAGAGAGAGAGAGAGAGAGAGAGAGAGAGAGAGAGAGAGAGAGAGGACATTTATATGACGTATATTGTCATAATTGTTCTATTTTACTATTGTTGTTGACCTCTTATTGTGCCTAATTTACAAATTAAACTTTATCATCGGTGTGTATGTATAAGAAAAACATAGAATGTACAGGGTTTGGTACCATCCCTGGTTTCAGGCATTCGCTGGGGTCTTGGAGCGTTTCCCCGTGGATGAGGGAGGACTGCTGTACACCTTTCGTACTGACTTCTGGACATGTTAGCTGCCTGCTGCTCTGCAGACACGCAGGGACTGTCCTTACTTTAGGGCCTTTGGAAAGTTCTTGCAGATCCTGCAGTGACTTTTCTTTTTGTCACTGAGGTCTCAGCTTCATCCCCTCCTTAGAAAGGCCGTCTCACACTTGGTGTCAAGGAGACCCTCAGGCACTGGCAGCAGAATAGGAAACGCATGCTCACTGCCACCCAGCACAGAGCGTGGAGCTTTGAAATTTGCTGTGGCGTTTGGTTGTGTTTGTTGTATTAGAGAACAGATCATTAGGAGCCCACTAAACCAGT